ATCATCCAAAAGATGGGTCACATGGTCACAGAGATTAGTTTGGTCAAGGAAAACTTCCCTTTCAAAAACCCATGCTGGCTGGCCCTGATACCTTGGCTGCCCTGCATTTGCTGTGAGAGCTCACTCAAGATGAGCCTCTCCATGATCTTTCCCAGTACCGAGGCCAGGCTGACAGTCCTGTAGCTCTCCCCAGATCCTCCTTCCACCCTTTCTTGTAGATGGGCATCACATTAGCCAGCCTCCAGTCATCTGGGACCTCCCCTGTTGACCAGGACTGTTGATAAGCAATGGAAAGAGGCTTAGCGAGCTCCCCCACCAGCTCCCTCAGCACTCTATGGTGGATCCCAACCAGGCCCCATAGACTTGTGCATGTCCAGGTGCAGAAGCAGATCAATAACTACTTCCTCCAAGATTCTGAGGGGGTCGTTCTGCTCTTCTGTTCTTATCTTCCAGTTCAGGATGTTGAATACCCTGGGGGGAGCTGGTCTGACTATTAAATACAGAGGCAAAGAAGGCATTAAGTGTCTCAGACTTTTCCTCATCCTCCATTGCAATGTTCCTCCCCACATCCAGTAAGGGATGGAGATCCGCCCTGGCTCTCTTTTTATTGTTGATGAATTTAGAAAAGCTTTCCAAGCAAGATGTAGAGACATTGCAAGGGTACGCAGGCATTTAGACACCTAAGATGCATAAGCTACAGGCTTTTAACTTCCCCAAAATAAACAATATAACAAAGGAAAGCTGCCCTGAAGTGCACGTCGTGAAACACCAAACGTGTGGTACAGAAACTGTACAAAGGTGACTGTGATTGTTATGCCAGCCCAAAGTACTGAGTTAACAACTCATTCCTCGTTTCATTGCATTTTTATGCCTAAACTCATCTTTCCTTCACCTGAATGTAAGCCCATGTCTTTAGTTCATGCCCAGATTAATACCTCCTGGGAAAAATGGCCTCCATGGTCTCCGAGACACAGCAGATGCTGTCAGAGCAGGATCTCTAAGGACTGAAGGAGGCCAGTGCAGCCTTGCAGCGAGAGGAGGAGAGGCAAAGTGCAGGTGAACTGAGCCCTGCAACTGCTGTGCTGCACTTGGGTGAGGGAGGAGACGGTCCATTTTAGCAGCAGAAGTCAGCCTTGCCCTCCAGCCACGCCTGGGACACAGCAACCATAGCTGTCTCTGTGTGAGGAGGTGCCAGCACCAAGTTACCAAGTTTACCCTCCTATTGCTTGCATATAATGTGCTAATTTATCAGCATATTTTCTTGCTGTATCCTCTGGCATATTCAGCACAGAATTAAAAGTGAACCTTAGGCAAAAAAAAGAAAGAATTGTACAAACTCAAGCTTTTTTTTTTTTTTTTCCCCCCTTTTCTTTCCCTGAGTGCTGTGACAGTCTAGAACTGCAGATTTCATGTGATAGCTCCTATTTTTGTATTTCTGTATTTAAAATATTGAAGTGGAATTTCCTTTAAGACTGTGATTTTCAGATGAGGTTTCTGCTGCTCCTTAAATTACTGTCTTGCCAACCAGTCATTGCTCAGTCTTTCATCCCTGTGTCTGGCTACTGATCTACTCTGCATAAGTCAGGCCTAATTCTGCGTTTTGCATTGGCCAGACAACCCTCTTTTGTCCTTCCACAACCTGATCTTTGCTCCACTAATGTAATGCTCTTTGCCTGGACAAAGTCATTCCTAGACAAACCTTTTCAGATTCTCATCTCAAGATCAGTCTCCTCACAAGTCATTCATAACCACCATGAAAGGTCTGTTGTCCCCATACCCAGGCAGCTTTTCTCCTCAAAATTTAATCCCAGTATTTCTTTTCTGAATTCTCAGATTTCTCTCCAGCTCCACTATTTTCTGATTTCTAGCATCATGTCTGTTGTTAGTTCTTGATTATTTTCCATTATTTCTAGAATACTCACTATTGTCACTCTGAAACAAACAAATTTCTGTTAAGCCTGACAAATATTTATCCATCAGAAAATATATTTAGAATTAAAAGATAAAACACTGTATTACCAATAAATCTATGTTTGGTTTCTGAGCATGATTCTAGGTTCACTGTTAACAACAGAACTGTTCCTATTTGACATTATCTCAGATACAGTAACCAGACTTCGCTTATTTGAAACATGATTTTTAGAACCAGAATATTCCCACATACTTTGTCCAAGTCTGCTGCTGAAAAGTGAGTAAAAAGTGCTTGCTTCGCCCAGATCATATGCCAAAACATACACAAAGAGCATAATTCTTACAAAGAAAGAGGCTGCCTTTTACAAACTTCTTCATTTGTATCAATTTATGGGAACATCCTACTGACATTCCTCTTGGAAGAGGATTTTGCAGTCAGGACTCAATTAGCTGCTATCAAATTATATGGAGTGAAACAGCCTATCCTGCACTTTACCTCTGTGGCCAGCTGTTTCCCAAATTCCTTGTCCAAAGTAAACACTATCTATCGCCGTTTATTCTTTACCAAATGTGCTTTGCTACTTGCAACAAGAAGTACATTTTTCTCCTGTGTGTTATTATTTTGCAAATACGTAAAATTAATTGTCTCACTCTCTCATTTTGGAGCTGTTCTACTTAAATGGCTCATGGTTTTACCCAAATTTGCAGTTGCCTTTCGTCTTCTTTTCATAGAATCATTTTGGTTGAAAAAGACCTTTAAGATGATTGAGTTCAACAATAAACCTAACTCTGCTGACTAACTCCGCTGAACCTATTGCTAAACCATCATCCTAAGCACCACATCTACACAGTTTTTAAACACCTCCAGGGATGGTGATTCCATCACCTCTCTGCACAGCCTGTTCCAGTGCTTGACAACCCTTTCAGTGAAGAAGTTTCTTTTAATATCCAATCTAAACCTTCCCTGGTGCAACTTCACTCCATTTCCTCTTGTTCTATCTTGTTCTTGGGAGAAGAGACTGACCCCCATCTTGCTACAATCTCCCTTCAGGGAGTTGTAGAGAGCAAGAAGGTCTCTTCTCAGCCTCCTTTTCTCCAAGCTAAACACTCTCAGTTCCCCTAACTGCTCCTCATGAGACTTGTTGTCCAGACCTTTCAGTAGCTTTGGTGGCCTTCCCTGGACACACTGAAGCACCCCAATGTCCTTCTTGTAGTGAGGGGTCCACAGAATCACAGAATGTTAGGGGTTGGAAGGGACCTCTGGAGATCATCGAGTCCAACTGCCCTGCCAGAGCAGAACAACTACAAACTCTAGGGCAGGTCACTCAGAAATGCATCCAGACAGGTCTTGAAAGTCTCCAGAGAAAGAGACTCCACAGGCTCTGTACAGCTCTGTAAACCTTACTGTAAAGAAGTTTTTCCTCGTCTTGAGGTAGAACTTCCTGTGTTCTAGTTTGAATCCATTGCCCCTTGTCCTATCACAGGGCATGACTGAAAAGAAATTGCCCCCGCCTTCTTGACACCCACCCTTCGAGGGTTTCTAGACATTCATAAGATCCTCTCTGTCTTCTCTCCTCTAGACTAAACAGCCCCAGGTCTCTCAGCCTTTCCTCACATGACAGGTGTTCCAGTCCCTTAATCATCCTTGTAGCCCTCTGTTGGACTCTCTCCAAGTAAATCCATGCCCCTCTTGAACTAGGGAGCCCAGAGCTGGACACAATATTCCAGATGTGGTCTTACTACAACAGAGTAGAGGGGGAGGAGAACCTCCCTTGACCTGCTGGACACACTCTTCTTAATGCACTCCAGGATACCATTCACCTTCTTGGCCACAAGGGCACATTGCTGCCCCATGGAGAACTTGTCCACCAGGACTCCAAGGTCCTTCTCCATGGAGCTGCTTTCTAGCAGGTCAGCTCCTAAGCTGTACTGGTGCATGCTGTTATTCCTTCCCAGATGCAGGATTCTACACTTATTCTTGTTGAACCTCATTAGGTTCCCCTTTGCCCAGCTCTGAAGTCTGTCCAAATCTTGCTGAATGGCTGCACAGCCTTCAGGTGTATCAGCCAATCCTTCCAGCTTCGTGGCATCAACAAACTCGCTGAGGACACACTCTGTCCCATCATCCAAGTTGTTGATGAAGATGTTGAACAGGACTGGACCTAGCACTGATGCCTGGGGGACTCCACCAGCTACAAGACTCCAGCTCTGCTGGCCCAATACGAACACTGAATTCGAGGTGCAGTCGCACCAGTGCCAAGTACAGTAATTACAGTTGCAAACTAAACCACATTGCTCAGCTGAAGAAGCATGGGTTTCCTTCAGGTAACCACTTACTGCAAGAAGAAAGCAAGACCTAAAGCAGAGACACTGCAACCACCTCCATCCAGCAAGGAGCCACAGCTTCTTGATGCCTGTTGCACAAAGGGCTGCTGCAAGCAGAGTGTGGGAGCAGCATACCACAAAGGCAACCTACAGTCCAGGGATGCTCGGACCTCTTACAGACTCCTGGAGATAGGAGTCCTAGTGTCAGCACGAGGGCTGGGGAGAGCCTGGAAGAATTGAGAAAGATAAAAGTCCTCTACTCTGAAGCCTGAGATAGGTTTGAGGAACAATCAATTGACACAGTGCATGCTGAGAATACACAATCTGCCCTGCACATGCTTTGAAACACTGGATCGAATCACCTATTATTTATTTATTATCACAAATTAAGCTGGTCTGGAAGGTTTCAAAGGCTAATTGCCACAGCCCACAGCTCCACAGCCCTCCAAGTTACAGGTGCATTCTGCATCTTAACAGCAGGATTTAGAGCCAATTCCCAGGTTACTCATTTCTGTCCTAAATCCAATATTGCTAGCTGCTGCTTATTTCATGTGGGGCAGCACTGTCATTTTCACTCTAAGAGCCTTGTCACCTTTCCATTCCTCACACAGGCAGTCCCATTTTTAGTCTGCTGCTTTCAATGTGAAATGTATGTATAGATTAGCAGTTCAGCTGTACAGTTGCTCCACTCATTATTAAAAAATTTGTAGCAGAGGAACTACAACACTAAGAAAATTTTACAGAAAAGGTCAGCATGTACTTACATAATTTGAAGCAAGATCAGGATGCAGATAATCAATTCCTGCAATAAGATAATGACAAAACAGAAACCAAAGGTTAAGAATTTAAAAAAATAAATAAATTTCTAATGATCACAGAACAAAACAAGATTTCCTTGCAACCATAGGAAAATTATCATGGCAACTAATGCAAACTGATTGAAGTGAGATTCCAGTTTTTAAATGTGGACTTTTAAACTGGTGTGTCATTTCTCATGCAGTTCTAGCTAACAGTTTTCCATTCCCTATGTCAAAATCCAGGTGCCAATTGAAAAAGTGAACTCAATGACAAAATTTATTGACCTGTTTTGTAGATTAGATCACATTTACTCATTGAGATTAGTTTACATCACAATCGATACAAGTTCTATCATCTCAAAGCACACCCAGACTAACAAGATCAGTAGCACTGGATCAGTACAGGAAAACAAAAGCATTTTTAACCACTGACAATTTTCAACTACTAAACTAGACATGGGTAGATCTTGGGCAAGCATTTTGGATTATGTGTATGAAACAGAACTTTCAGTGTCGGATTATACCATTTTAGCAAATATGTGAGTATTGGCTCCACACCTTGGTAAGTGTGTTAAAGATTGAAACAGGGCAGTACTGCAGAATATGCTCATTAAAATGGTATCTTTCTACATAAGGCAAATGTACAAATCCCACCAGACAGTGCAACAGAAGCAGCAGATTTACGCTCAGATGGGACAGGCTAACCTATTATATATCCAATTAAAACATACAAAGACATGGCCACCACTTTCACGTTACATTTTGATCATTACTCTGCCCCATGTCTCCAACCACCACACTATTGCACACTCAATCTTATCTGCAAGGAGACTGTTGTATTATCCTTCTTATTCTGATGAAACAATTATGATGCAGGGTCCTTAGCACTAGATTTGCATGAAGAAATCCTTGTATCTGTGGAGAGCATTAGTGATCCAAATGGTAGATCGGCAGCAAAAGTCTCAATGTTATTCAGGTGCTCTCTTCCAGGGTTACTGAAGTTAATATAAGGCAAATTATCCCCTTCTCTACAAGCTGTGTCTGATGGACCAACAGCTTTATTTGGCCTGAAGCTTAAATAGTTTATTCGTCATCCCCACCACAGTCATGGCAAACTATTCTGAAAGCTAAGTCCTGCCTCTGTGGGATAAGTGAAATTGTGATTTCTCATTACATCACGTGAGAGATCATTTCTCATGTGAGACTCATCTCTCATCAATATAGAGGTGTCTACTTTCTTACTTCTGTAAAAACCTTGGTTTAGGAGTAAGCAGCTAAGGGACAGCAATATGTGAGAACAGATCTCAGTTGATCCCAGAAAACATATGTGGATCCATACATTAAATTTATTTATTCATTTTTAATATTACTCAGTCACCATAAAAAGAAAACATTGAAAATTTAGCCCGTCTAGAAGTGCTGAGAGACTGCACAAAACTCCTGTACTTCAGCAAGGAGCCCACGGGTAGAACAGCTGTGTCTTCAACTGCACCTTTGATCTTCATCTTCCCTGAACTTAGCCTCAAATTAGTTATATATTTAATATGCAGGTCTTTATTGACATTCAGCATTAAGTGCTTAAATATTTTGGCTGTCAAGTATGACTTTGAGAATAATGTAACCCAGAAAATGTTTTCTTAAGTACTTCTTGTACAGCAATTACATCCTCCAGTCAGTTGCTACAGAAGTCAAGGCGAGTCTTTCCTTTGGCTTAATGGCTGTTACAGTGTGCCCTGGAAGACACCTCAGTGATAAATGCCAACTACTTTTAATGCCTACATACCCATGCTTCAGTTATTAAGACTAGTGAAGTCTTAATAACATGTTTTCCCTTAAGATCTCAAAGTCTTTATGGAGGCTGCAAGTCTCACCACTACAAGCAATCCATTATTATTTTGTAATCTTTTTTTTTTTTTTTTTACTTTGATTACAGGGAAAAAGCTACTTAAAAATACTAAATTAGCATGCAGTCTTCACTTACCATCATCCATAATTCCGATGGTAACTCCCTTCCCCGTATATCCCAGCTCCCATGCTTCAGCTACATTAAGGTCAAGTCCAGGAGTCCCATCTGCTTGACCAGTGTTAATCTAATACATCAGTGAAAAAGGAAGAACAGCTTTGTTTACTTGACAGATGTATTTCTGCAACCACTGAATTTTGCTTTTTTCTTTGCATATATCTATGGGATGTACTCCCCATTTCCTTTGCAGTGCACATCTGTATGTAAACATACCTACTGCAATAATGCAATAGTAAAAAAAATACAACAACAAAATAAGCAAAATCAACCTTGGGTAAATTAACTTTTTTTGTGGTTTACAAGATTTGATTAAACACTGAATCCTTTAGACCCAAAGAAGGATTTTTCTACTTAGGCATGTCAGGGTAGTGGGTCAATCCAGACAAAAGTTAGACCAATGGATCTTAAAGAGGACATTTTTTTATGAGCAGGAAGGGCTATTTTCTTGACAGTAGGGACCTACTGAAATTCACGACCACTGGGTTTAGACCAGAAACAACTTATTTGACAACTAAGTTAGCCCTCCTTTCAGCA